TTAGTATAGTAGTAGATAGACTATATAGAAACCTTCCTAAAGTTCTCTTAATTTACTATTAATATCTTTACTATACTAATAATAGTAGCTAACTATAAGAAGGCTTTTAGTACTACTAAGTTAAGCTTCTTATTATAAAAGCTCTTAATAATACTAAATACTATAGAGACCTTCTAACTAAGTAAGAACTAACTAAAGAGAGGGGTAATAATACCTCAAAATCATTTTAGGCTACTAGAGGTATTATAACTTTATTTACTTATTACTTAATTAAGAAGTAGTAATAATATTATTTACTATAGTATTTAACTTACTATACTTATAAGTTAGCTAATAATTAAAGCTTAGGAAAAAGATCACTAAGTTGATAAGTATAGGGGGCAAAATTAACTTGATTGCACTTGCGGCAGTGCTGCTTGTGACCCCGCTTAAGCTCAGCTCACTAGCGCAGCGGCTTCTCTCCCAAGTTAGGGTATGCAACCTTGCCCAGGGGCCGGAGATGGTCCACCGGTCTCCGGCCCGGTTCGGACCGGGGCCTGGGCAAGCTGGGATTGGTATCTTTGATTGGCGGACCTTTCTGTGAGAGAAGACAGCATAGCAGTGCGGAGGTTGGCGTGAGGGGTTCATGACGATGGCCTTGTTGATTCCCCAGACTAGGGGATATAGCGGCATCGAACGCGTGGTCCTCATGGCGATTTATGGCAAGGGGTACTGTCAATATGACCATATATAGCTAGAGAAAGCGGCCTGGACGTAATGGGATTCCTCGCCAAGAATTGTCCTCGCAAAAGTACGGTTTGTCGGGCACGATGCATCTCAAATTGGTCGTCGCTTCACTCTTGACCTCTGGCGCGACGCTGGGGGTCAACGCCGCCAGCAAGCCCAAGTTGTCAGCCAGTAAGGTTTGCGCGAATGGTGAAAGACGTTCAAATTGACTTACACTATCTCAGGCGCTCAAAGTTTGTTTGACTACTCCATGGGGGTCCAGGACGCTAGATGGGACCAGTCGTACGCTGCGATTTTCTACCCCGACAAGGGACCGTGGTCGAACAGGTTCACTGCCTGGTACACGGCGGGCTTGCTGCATCGCAACGAGGGAAACGACGTAGAAAACGCAAAGGCAGCAATTGAGAACATGTAAGAAGCTCATTTTCATTTTTCTTCTCATTCTTTTGACTAATTCCGAGCGCAGTCTTCAGTGCCAAATGACGTCGGATTTTGAGTCAGCGTGGTATGGAACATTTAAGCTCTCGCCTGATGAGCCGGACCCAACTCCCAACTCCACACTCTACCCACCAAAGATCTATGTAAGTTGGGTCCGTGGAGCCATTGACGACGTGTCTGCTCACCTGGTTCTAGACTACATACGATCCGAACTGGAGAGAGTTTATTGGGTAAGTCCTATAAAATCACGAGTGCCACAATGTCAACGGCAGCTAACAGCAATGTAGAACACAACTTGTGCAAGATGTGGAGCTCTATTCCGACCTCCTTGGCGCGGATCTCGTCAAGAAAATTGAAGATGCTCTCGAAATCCAAGCCGTCGGCGCTATGAGACGTAACGGCAGCTACCCCGATGGCGACAACCTCATTCTTGGCTACTCTAACCCAGGCCTCATGCGCGCCCTTACAGTCGGCTGGATCGGCGCCCGTCGTCAAAATTCTGCCTTCATCAACTTCGCCAACACTCAAGGGAGCGAGCTTCTAGAGCTCTTCAAGTCCAATGGGTCTAACACTCTCGGCGAGTACAACGCGCCTAATTACTACGGCATGGACGTCTGGGCTCTGGCTGCAAACATCGCTTACGGACCTCGCAACGCCACCTTGACCAAGAACGCCGAGTTCATCTTGAAGGAGTTGTGGAAAGATATTGCGGAGCACTACAACCCGTATCTCGGCAATCTCGTCGGTCCGTATGACCGCGCATACACCCGCGACATGACAAAGTATTCGTCCATTCTCCCCATGTACTGGTGGTCTGTATTTGGCCGCGAGTACGGTCCACAGCCACTTTTGGGAGAAGGAGACTTGATGTACGATGCTGCACAGGGTGCGGCAATCTCCCTGGTTGCAGAGACAGTCGCGAAACACATCTCAAACAGTACTGTAGCTGTTCTCAAGTCCAAGGGCTCCTGGACGGGGTCACGAAGCCTCACACGACACATCAAGGAAGAGCTGGACACCGACGTCACTCGCACCACCACATCCTGGATAAGCGGACCTCTCATGATCGGCGGACAGCAGGTCGCTGAGACAGAGAATCGAGGAGATCAGTTTGTCCCAGCCATTGCACATTGGGCTTCTGATCCTTTGCACAAGCCGTGGCCCCTAGTTGGCTTCGTCCTGCTCTATCCTTCCGCGTCGACGATTAAGGCCATTGCGAGTGAGAACTTCTTGAGTATCTCATACCCGAACAAGACTCAGGAAGGCTCTGATATCTTCACCTTTGCTCTGTCCGGAATCCCCCCATCCTGGACTCTGGGAGGCAAATCCATCACCGGCTTGGAGGAGCTGCCATGCTTGAACGTCAACGTCTCTGCGCCTGGATTGGAGAAGTTGCCTATCTCGTATGGTGATCAGCTGAGAAATCATTGGTACTACAATATTTCGTATGCGGTGCCTGCAGACTTTGAGGGCGTCCCGCAGGTAAACTTGACGATGGAGTACACCTGTGAAATTTAGAAGGATTGAGGGCGGACCGTAGCACGGGTTGACTATAATCACTTTACGTGTATATATAACATAGGCAGCGCGTACAGCAGTGCCTTTTCCACAAACTTACTGAATTCTTTCTGCAGATCTCAGATCGCAAAAGCCCTAATGAATCCCTGCCAGACGATGTGACATTACAGGCTGGTAATATTGATGCCGAAGTAGCACACGTAACGATGAGCATACATCAATGACAACGCATCTATTTCATAATGCAGCGGAGCAAACAGCGAAGAAAGAGTATATGATAACATATGAATTGCCGATACTATTGCTACATGTACAGACGCGATCGATCATGGAGAATTGTCTCAGAGCTTGAGATTTTCAACCATAGTGGTCTCGATCTCGAGACCTCCCTGCCTCGCCCTCTCCACAAAGTCCGGCCCCAACACCCCAGCCGTCAGACATCCGCCTTTAATACCCCCTGACAAGTTCCTATCGTACAACAGCGTGGCGCCCGCCTGAGCCATGAGCATGGCAGCGAAGGGGTAGTTTCCCTCATTGTACCTTAACTTGACGAGACACCCCTTCCCACGATTCTTCTCCTCTGCGGGGTCGGCCTCAACGAAAGCTGCCGCAGTGAAAGGCAAACTGTTGATCTGCTCTTCAGACGGGCCGACACCCAAGTCCGGGGCGGAGCGCATCAGCAAATTGTAAAACCAGGGATACTGCACCCACGAGAACATGGTGAGAATGACGTAGCAGCGGAATAAGTTGACAACGGCGCCCACATACGACTGCGCCCTCTCGTACTCGTTGTACTGGAAGTTGGGACCCCAGCTACCTTTTGGGCCGCCCAGGAGACCCCAAGATCTATTGACGAGAGTGCGCGCTTGGTCGCCTGGCGGGGAAGAGAATGTCAACAATCCAAGCACGGGATGCGTGTGGATTCCGCGGACCGCCTCGATGGGTTTCGTGTAAGGAATCGGCGTCAGCAGCGACGGGTGACCAGCCGCCGCGATTGCTTTCGGGCCTCCGCGCGCGAAAGACAGCATCGTTCGCATGGTACCGCCACTAACATTAGGGCTGGAGTTTGCGTTAAATTAGCATGAAGACCCTATCAACCAGATTGAATAAGACTGTGTGCTTACTCAAGATCGTCAACTCGCAACGTCATCTTTCCCATTTGTGCTGACCATTTTTGTTTAATTTCGCGGCAGGCATGAATGGCGAATAGGTCCATTTCCCCTGTCATGGCACCGCAAGAATGAATAAGCTATTTGTGATGCCGGTCAGCCGATGCGTTGATGTTGTCTATCATGAAAAGTCAGGTGGGGACGCGACCTACCGCAACGCCGTTTCCCTCAGCTTGGTCATGATATTTGGTGACCCAGTCGTGGACAAGAGTGGGAACTCCAGCGCTATACTTGCTGTTAGATGCCATTTCAAGAAGAAGCGAACGTCACAAACCAGTCGACATAGTCGGTTCGCTGCTCAATGCACGCCTCAATGATCGGATCTCCGTCAATCGCGTAGACGACACTGCTGATGCACACCTTGGCTCTTCCGATCACCTCCCCGAGTGTCTTAGCATCATCTGGCGCGACAATTTCAAGGTCTAGTTGCGAATTAGCATTCCCACCAGTGTAGCAAAACTCAGGGCACCGCGGTGCCTCACCTGGCTGCACTCGATCGGGATACTCCTTTCTCAATTTAGCTGCCAGCCTTTCGAGACGCTCTTGTGACCGGCCGGCAACTGACCATTTGAGGTTGGTGGGAAAATGGGCCGCCATGTGCGTGCATACCATCGTGCCGGTGAAGCCGGAGGCTCCGAGCACGACAATGCCGTATTTTCGCGGAGCCGGGTTAAGCACTGCCATATTTTTGTTGGATTAGTGATATGGTCTTGGGCTCTGGTGCGGAGACTTCTCGGCGTATTGATGTGCTAGTGTGTGTGATGGGGTGGAGGCGATCAGGAGTTGAAGAAAGGACTTGCAGCGCTGTTTCCAGGGCCCTGGTCTCAACCGAGGTTCGTGGGTTGGCTCTTATGTATCTACTTCCAATGTCAGTGGAATAGCGGAGTATCGGCGGACTTTGAAGTACATTTTGGGAGGCTGCGGGCGGAACTACACTTGCCAAGGGTAACGTGCAGGACAACCAACAGGGCAGGCTTTATCAATGGGGATGTGATTGCTTGTTGGCAGGGAACCTGCAGAACTCGCTTCAGTGAAGAAGAGGGGTAACAAAATAGATCATCACCCATAAAAACCCTTGCTGTCTCCTATAATTTAGTAGCACTGATACTTCCGCTCTGTTTCACCCTGCATTTTCGATGTTGTAGTGCCATGTCTTCGAACAACGCCACGAGCGAAGCCGCTGGCATCGCGGAAGTCCCCGCTCAGGCGAACAACCCAGTTGAATTGGTTGCTGATGAGGTAAGTCGACCTTAACACCGTCTTTTGATGGACTTTATGCTGATCCGCCATGGCCATAGGCGACGGATGACAGCTCCTCGGAGGTGGGAGTTGTACGCCGCCCTCACTCTTTCTTCCACTGAATTGCTCTAACAAATGCGATTTAGAGCGTCGCATCGTCGAGCGTTAGTCTGAGTGACTCGATTCGCGACTTCCGTATCGAGAATGGCCGTACATACCATAAATACAAAGACGGACGTATGCAATGATTCTCTACATCAAATCTACGCTATCGTTCGGTTTCTGAAATCTACAGGCTATATTGCTCCAAATGACGACAAAGAAAATGAGAGACTAGGTAGCCCGTTTGTTACAATCACCTCATCTGCGAGGTGCGCTGACAGAAATTTTAGACTTGCAACACCATCTTTGTCTTCTTACCATCGATAACCGCCTGGGACTCGCGCCTCCCAATGATTCCGACTCAAAGGTCAAGCGCGTCCTTGATGTTGGCACTGGGACCGGTATTTGGGCCATCGACTTTGGAGACGAACATCCGGATGCCGAGGTAATAGCGTCTGTTTAATTTGAACATTAGTCTTAGTATTGATTCGGGTTCTGCAGGTTATTGGTTTCGATCTCTCGCCAACAATGTCAGACTTGTGAGTGCTCCTTGCTTCCAATATCAAACGATTCCTGGGGAACTATGAAACGCGTTATTCAAAAAGCTGACTCGAGCCAGTGTGCCTCCCAACGTGAAGTTCGAAATTGATGATCTCGACGAGGAGTGGAACTGGTCGCAACCGTTCGACTACATCCACAGCCGATTCATGAACGGGTCTATTGGCAATTGGAAAACCTTCGCAAAGAAGATATTCAAGTGAGTTGGATATCTTTGGTTCTATGGAAGCAATCGCTTGATCTTTGATTGAAATGATACTGACGTTAGTATTTCTAGTAACCTCACCCCAGGTGGATATGTCGAATTGGTTGAGTTAGACCTGTGGGCATGCTCCGACGATGGTACACTAAAATCGGACTCCGCCATGATGAGGTGTATTAAAATGTTGGAAGAGGCGTCCGACATTTTCGGGCGACCTTACCAGCAGATCCCGCCTCTCGTGAAGGTTTTTGAGGATGCCGGCTTCGTCGACGTCAAAATGGCCGTGCATAAGTGGCCGACGAACCCTTGGCCGAAGGATCCCGAATATAAGGCGCTAGGCATGTGGGCTCACGACAACTTCGATACTGCATTTGAGTCGTTCACCATGGCGCCGTTGACCAGAGCGCATGGGTGGACAAAGGAGGAGGTCCAAATCTTGCTGATGGAAGTGCGACAAGACCTGAGAAACAGATCCATCCACGCGTATTGGCCGGTGTAAGTCAGTCAGATCCTCGTCATGATCTCCAGCTAATGGATTCAGGTACAACATCTACGGACGAAAGCCCTCCGAAAAGGAACAAGTCTAGCTGATGGATATGCGAGATTTGTAGGGCATGACGGGGTGAGGTATAGAAAATACACCTGCGCAAATGCATACGACCAAATTCATTCGCATTGTCAGAACAGAGTTGAACATTCGACATCAGCAATCTTTCTTCCCTTCTAACTTTTTCTTCGCAGTTTGCCGCCTGGAGGCGCACCTTGTTGACTGCCGTATGACTCGCACGGGGAAATATTCGAGGGCCAGGAGATGTCTCGCACGAATATTTCCCCGTGCGAGACATCAGCAATTATCGAGCCTGACGCAAGGATCTTAGGTAGAGACCTAGTCTTAGACAGTATACATGGAAGATTAACGTCTCGAGATCCATCACCACGTCCGTGTACCCAAGTTCTTAGGAAGTTGTCCTCGAATGTTCTTACTTTTGTGTCGACGTTGTCCATTGTCTATGCGTCATAGGGTAGATGATTTGTGTACTAGGCGCCAAGAGTGCCACAACCGACCACTGTACTGTGTTATGGTTTTGAGAAGCATGGGCCGTGGCGATGTTCTTGATTGATGAACTTCGTAGCGGCGAGTCGCTGTCCGGTGGGGCTATTAACGTTTCAGTTGGGGGCAGTGATGTACATCATGAGCGGCTGCGTAAATCTCGATGAATGTACTTCATTCAAGAATAGCTTACTGCCTTAGGCAATCATCGGAGGTTTGAACATCACAGTGCACAGCCTGTGTTATTGTTGTTGGGACCTTTCGGCAATCCTCAATTATTACCTACCTTACTTAGGCAAGGTGCCTTATCTATTTTTACCGTCAGTACCAGGTACCTTGGACACACACCCGAGACAATGAGGCACAGCACCAACAAGGCCCCTCCTTTTTCTCATCGATCAGATGGAATACTCGCGTGTCCCAATTCTCTCCTCAAATAACTCCGCCCTTTTATTCTCTGCATAACTTTTCGAAGTGCATCTTGAAACTTCCATTCAACAACAAATATGCCCCAAACGCCCACCAGAAGAGCATCCACAGGCGGCAAGGCGCCCCGCAAAGCTCTTTTGCAGTATGTCATTGAGGAAATGCCCAGCCATGATAATACGCCTTGCTTTACCGCCTGGCGACGTGCTGTGAGGTTGCCAATACCAGAAAAATACGCGCGACCGCCCTCAGACTCGGATTCGGACGATGAGGATGGACAAACGCGCCCAAAAATGTCTTATCAGATATACGACACAACGCCTTTGTCTGTCAACCCGGACCATCTGAAAAATCGAGCCAAGAAGGTCCACGAAGAGACATTCAGAGCGCGCTGGAGAATTGGATTTGATTTCCACGATCGTATTGACCTCTGGGGCATGCCGCTTGCCGTGGACGCATCTACCGATGAGAGAATCAAGAAGTGCAGAGCACATGCCTGTGCTGAAATTGCGTTACGGGAGCACGCCGATGATATTTTCCACATTTCGCGACTCATCAACCACGTAGATTGGCCTCGAAATAACTGGCGTCGAGTCATCATCATCATTGACCGGCCACCAGAGCTCTGGAACGAGAATGGGGGAGGCTTCCTGGTGGTCTTCTGGGATCTGTCAATCGAGCATCCTGCAATAACTTCAGGGGAAGCTGAGGGGCTTCAAAGCGGCCAAGATGAAGGCCAGCAGGCACCGGAGATGGAAGTTGGACGTTGCAATTATGATGGCGTGGGAAAGGTGATGGGGGAAATTAGAGAGGCTTTCCAGGACTTTGAGGACTAATTTTCTGAGGTGTTGGAAGGGCTTCCTGAGGGTAAATAACGCAAGAGACAAACAGTAATCAGCGAACTTGAATCAAATAAAAATCTAGATACCGGTAGAGACAGTTGTGACTTCAAAAGTGATAAGCAGAGCCATCAAAACAGTCCAAGCAAACAAGCAACATGACAATATGTCCACGACCGGTGTGCTCCCACACACAAAACCCATCCGGTCCACCTGTCCGCCTTCTGAACCTCAAATCTTCCAACATGGCCACCACCCAAGACATTACCCAAACGATCTTGACCGGCACGCCGATGTTCGGGTTCTGATTGGAAGCATCAAATGTGACATCTTTCCAGCCATAGTCACCATAAACCGACGCGCCGGCTGGGAGACCGGCCGGGCGAGGAAACTTGAGCTTGGCTGCAGTAGCAAAGCCATTGTTGCCGAAAGCATCGTTCCTCCACTTTTCTTCGGCCGCGGACCGCTTGTTCTTGGGGAAGTTTTGATAGCTCCTCGTAGATCTGGGGCCTGTTGGCTGTTCCTGGGGCCGTTAGGTAGTGGCGATGGTAGTTCAGGAGACTCCATCGTTCAAAGGTTGACAATTTGCCTAAGCTAGCCCCCGAACTATTAAACATCCATGGATGCTGTAAATGCTCAATGAAGACTCATCTTTGATCGAATGATGTAGTCAAAGTCCCAGACACGCGATACTTCGGCGACATCAACCCGCGCTCAGAGAAAGGGCCCACCAACAGTATCCAAAAGCCCCCAACGGATCCGGTTGCTACCGTATCAACTGCGGCGAGCCGTTTGCCAAGTATTCGAAGCCTCAAAATTACCCATTTTTCTCCACTTGAGATGTCACGATCGTGATATTCCTGTCGTGAACGCGAAGCTTGGCAGTTGGTTCCCTACAGCCGTCCCCACTGCGTGAGAACCTTCCGAATTCAAACCATCAACGAACATGCTTTCTGCCTCGCCCTCCAATTCTACGCCTCTATAAGAGGTGCCCATGGGGACGATTGGGGTCTATACGCCCATGACACCCTCACATCTGCCTCCATTTGAACAGTGCGGTGCAGTCCAAGGCAGACCAGTGAGGAGTGATACTCCCGAGGCAGATTCAGGCAAGGCCGTGGAATGAAATTCGACGGAAAAGATTTTGGGACCCTCCCGTCGCTGAGAATGAAATTGAGAATATGATGAATGGTAGACATTTCAGAATCCAGGTATTTCGTAGGATGCGCGTCAACAGAAGATACCAACAAGGAAGTTTGCGCAAGCGCCCAACGAAGCGATCAACGCCCAGAAACCCATGACTCAAGACTGTAAGAAAGGTTCAGCTCCAGTTACAACGCATTGCATGTGAGCTGGGTGGCTGGAGGCAAACTATACAAGGGTTTCGGATACCAAGGTACATGGGATCATTCTGAGGACTCTGATTCTGGCGTTAGCAAATCATGAGAGAATTTCCCCCCAATGCGAGACTACCACACCGTCCTTAATGAAGTGTAGCGTGAGTGGCCTTCATAGAAGTGCTCAAGACCTACTTTAGCTTTCCCTGGATCTTGGTCCGTCTCAGTCCGGCATCTGAATATTAAGAGGGCTTCGCAACCCCGCGAGCTCCATTTCCAGCCAAGCGGTTTCAAGACGAGAGATTCTTTGCGCAAGCTATAGTTGCAGTGACCCAGCAGCAAAGATCCACGGTGACAGAGCGAGTAACAAGTATCCGCACCCATTGTTGGAGGGTGGGCGTCAGCCCGCAGTTCGCCAGGCCCTTGATCTTGAGAAGGACAACCGGCACGAAAGCGAAGTGGCCAGTGGCTTGCAAGACGCTGGCAGCATACAATGAGTGGGTGCCCTTTTGCTGTAGCACTTCGATTGAGGTGCTAGCGAGGATAGCGACGGTGGAAGCCATGGTGCCGAAGAGGGGTGCGATGACGTGCCGTCACGTATGTGAGACCATTATTGATCATCGTATTCCAGTAAGGGGTGAGAACATGCTTGGCGCCCATCCCGACGTCTTTGTTCAGAAATATACCAATGAAAAAGAATTAACCAAAAGGCAAACCATCAGGACACGGTGGAAGTAATCACCGGTATGAGGTGCAAGTGCGACATGACCTGACGGGTTGCCGAATGGATCATCGGAGCAAGTATATTTCGAGTGTGAATTGAGACTTCGGAGGTTGATTTTGACTGCACGATACAAATTTTGATGTTGGTATGACATATCAGTGAGACTGAATTTGTCGGCTGTCTTGTTTCTAGTACCGAGCAGTAGCGAACGTGGCTGTAAGCCCAACTCGGCCGGTGCTTGCATGATAACATGGGCCAACTCCGCAAGTTGACGCGAAGAATTCACAACGGCTGCACATCTGTCCGAACTATATGCGGCAATGTGGCGTACAGCTTATGCGAGTTGTGTCTTTCTGGAAAGGGCCCCCAAAATGGGTCCGTAAGCAGAAGCCTTGGCCGTTGCCGACTTACCAAAGTCCCAAACCCCGAGGTGCGGAGTTTGCTGCCTGGATCAGGGCTCTTTAGTGCATTGTTGGCTGGCAATCAAATGGCGAGAGTTAAAACAGAAGGCAAAGGTGTACCTCAGACCCTGGTTGTTGGCTATTTCCATAGTTTTCGAAATCACAGCAAAAGGAATTGATTCCATCACAGTTGAGAGCGGATTCAAGAGCGTCTCCTCAGGTATATACCGCTCTTGTTGATTAATAACCTAAGAGTTCTTAAAACGTCTTCTTACGATGTTCTCAAAGTCTTTACTTTGCACCAGAAGAATGCTGACAAGACCGAGGAGAAGTTTGAGAAGCACGTGTGCGAATTTCAATCCCACCTCGTCAAACCTTTTGAAGCGACATAAGGTTATGAAGTACTCGAGTTTGCGCGGTGTGACGGCTATTGCCCATCGCCAAAGCTCGTTACGATATGTATGATTCACTAGTCGTCAGACGTCTGCCTGAGCAATGTCTGCGGAGCTCTCGCCGCGATGGTGGAAAGGCTCCGTCCGGGGTGGGCTGTCATAAACTCGCATGCATTCCTCACCTATTGGGTGCGGGATATGTCACTTACAAGCGACCCGGAGTATCATGAAATTGGCCGAAATTCAGAGAAAGGCCGGATTGACTCTATCAGATTAACTTCTCACAGGACTTGAGGGTTAGATATTAAGACTGCAGGGTTTCTTGATCTCGTCATAGCGTAGGTAAGTCTAGCAACTTTGTTTGCGTCCCACGCGATGCGCGCCTCAACACAAAATGAGAAAAGCCTCAAACTTGTGCATTCCTGCAACTGATAGAACTTGTGACCAGGTCGTCCATGACGCATTATAATTGGGAACATGGTCCGCGCATACCTTCAAGGCTCGTAGCTTTGCCAATTCAATCAAGTTGTTCGATGCTACCGCTGAGTCGAATAAGATGTAATTCCCCCGAAACTACGTACCTGGTGGTTTGCTCTGAGGCAGTGGTAAGATAAGACTGCTGTCCCTGGGCTAGCCATGATAGAGTCACAGACAATTGGTTGCACAGTTGATCCATCATGATCACTCTACCTCACGTGTACTGCTATTGCAAAAACGAAAGTGGCCCTGTCCTGAGCCGTTTTCTTGAGAATGTCCAAGTGATTTTCCTTGACCCAGCATTGTCAACTGCGTACTGATTTGGCACGAGCCCCTGGAAAGCTGGTTGCAGAGGCTCTTGCCGTGGACTTCAAGGTGAAAGCTTGGAGTTTAGTGTGATTCATCACGGAACTACGTTAGAGAGACCAAAGGTAGCATTGAAACGTCATGATACCCTGCACAATGGAGGTTTTGTTTCAACGGCAGCCATCGAGCTCCTGAGAAACTATTTCCACCATCTTGGCATCTTGGCCGCTTCGTATCGATGCAACTTTGCTATCGATGATAACATTCAGCATTTTCGCTTCGCACTGAGTAGTTGCACCATGGTGGCGACATGGGAACCTGCGTCTGAAGAGTGCATTAATGACACTGCCGAGTTCCGGTTTCCCGATCGGTGAGACTGCACACCGCTCAATGACTAGCCGCACGGAACGCGCTGGTCTGGCATTCACGAAAACGGCGGTTGTAACGAACTGCACTGCTGAAGAAACGTTACAGCCATTGGGCCTCTTGAATGCACCAATCTCCTATTCAAACCTGCATGTCACGATGGCGACAAGCAGCGGACATTTGGTGTTCTCAATTGATTTGAAAAGCCTCTTCACCGCCTGTGTCATGTGTTACTGTCCAATCTTAGTTTCAGGCCTCGAACTGAAATTTTATCTTCAGCGCTATTGGCCAGGGCCCCTTGCAGTTTCATATTAAGTGAGCCAAACCGCCCCAAAGTTGGGCACCGAGAGACAAACACCAATGAAAGCAACTTTGCGATGCACGAAGCCAGCCGTTTGGCCATTCACGCTCTTTGTGTCTTGCTGCATCTCGAGGCCACGTTCGTTCTGTCGGTCTGGGCGCGTCTTTCAACCGCCAACCAACACGAAAACAACAGCCCGCAACGTGACAGAGCGAAAGAGGAAACCCGAAGAGATGATCGACGCAGGCCGAACGTGCCGCTTACCGCAATAGTCCGTCTCCACTAACTGTCTCAGTCGCCCATTATCCGCACAAGGGAAGAGAAAAAGCTCAGACGCTCGTGTCTCAAAACAGCTCGTACCCCCTGAGACCAACACAACAAAAGCCAAGGAAGGGGGGCGAGGGGCGGGCGGTCACCTTTCGTCCATTTGCAGCCCACCCGCTGGAAGCAAATGGTATTATTACCGGGCGCCCCTCTGATCCTTCCGATCACCGTGCTAATTTCCACGTCGGCGGCGTTCTGCCTTCCAAGAAAGTCTAAATTCGACCACGTCGCCGCAAATCTCGTGGCGCTTTCTCTTCACCACCCCTGAACACACACCCAAGACTGTCGACCGTCGAGGAGCCTTGTCAGCAACAGCAGAACGGCAGACGGCCAATTCTGACAACCAGCTAAGAGGATAACTCACACATGAAAGCGACACTGTGAGACCGGCAAGCTTCATTGTACGGCGGATTCGAATTGTGAACGGGCTTGGCGTGGAGAGCGAGAGAGCGAGAGAGCGAGTGAGTGAGTGAGAGTGAGAAAGAGACCGGAGGACCGAAAATGGGCGCCCCCGGTGATGCAGGCCGACGAGGCTCTCACCACGATGTGCCCTTCACCGACGACCCAGAGCCCGACGCGCCGACGAGACGCGGGAGCGTGGACGAGGAGGCCCAGCTCCTCGACGCCGAGGAATTCGAGCTCGAGCCGAGGAACAGCGACTCCAGCGCGTCGTCGATCATGCAGCAGAAGTTCCCCGCGACAAAGAAGCGACACTGCTTGTACGGCCCTCAGCCGCCGCGGGTGCACACCATCAAGCCGATCCTGCCGTGGGTCCAGGAGATCCCCCCGCGGCTGCTCGACCGCATCGCCCCGACGCCGCGCCGAAAGGCCGGCATCGTCGCCGTGTTCCTCGCTCTATGGGTCGTCGCCTTCTCGATCCCGCTCAGCTCATCCCGCGCGATCAAGGACAACTTCGGCCAGGACGTGATGAACCTCGACTGCTCGGACGCGTTGTGGGAGTTCAAGAACGACTGCGGACTCGACGGCGCCGACTGCCGGCCGTTCACGAATTCATCCTTCTCATTCAAGTGCCCGGCCAACTGCATGGCTCACAAGCTGCTGAACCCGCATAATGTCGGGCCTCAAGAGATTGTGTACAAGCATCTGGTTGTCGGCGACGGGGCCTACCGCGGCGACTCGATGATTTGCGCGGCGGCGATCCACGCGGGCATTGTCACTGACTTGAGCGGAGGGTGCGGGCGCATTCACCGGATTGGACAGCATGAGAGGTTCAACAGCTCCACGAAGAATGGCGTTGAGTCCATCTCATTCGATTCATACTTCCCGCTCTCATTCAACTTGACAGCAGACCCGAGTCTTCAGTGCGGCAAGAGAGATCCCCGACAGATCCTCCTCCCGACGTCACTATTTTTCACCACAATCTTTTCCATCTTCACGACATCGCCCGAATGGCAATTCTTCGTCAGTTTCTTCGGCATCTTCGCCCACGTCAGTTTCGGGTCCGACCCCCCGACCGCATCCCGGCACGTCGCCACCGTCCTCCCGGACCGGATCTCAATGTTCACCGGCCGACTTCTACCGGCGGCCTTCTGCGCCGTCGTCATGTACTGGATCGCTGTAAGACGGACCCTCACCGGCCTCAAGGCCCAGTTTGAGAAGACCGTCCTCTGGCTGGGAGGTTTCTGGTTCGGCGCCTTGTCGAACTACACCTTCGCCTGGATGCCAATCCAGCGCCTCACCGCCCACGACATCGAGTCGCAGCCCGGAGCCAAGCCCGCCCTGGCCCTCATCCTCACCATCCTCGCCTTCGTCATGGCGAAACAAGTTTACTTCTTCTGGCTGGAGGGCAGGCTTCCCAAGTTCCTCGCCCTCTACGCCCTTTTCCTTCTCGGCATCATCATTGGCCTTTCGATACCCGGCGTCGACCTTCGCATTCACCACTACATCATGACTTTCCTTCTCATCCCCGGCACCAGCATGCAGACGCGGTCATCACTATTTTACCAAGGCATGGTTCTCGGGCTGTTCGTCAACGGCATCGCCCGCTGGGGCTTCGACTCCATCCTCCAGACGCCCGACGCGCTCCGCGAAGACGGCCCGTTCAACTCGCTGCTCCCCGAGATCGCCAAGCCCATCCTTTCCACGGGCTCGTTCGAGCCCAGCATCACATTCAGCTGGCTTCTCCCGCCCAACGGCACCCGCTTCGACGGCATCAGCGCCCTGGTCAACGACGTGGAGCGGTATCGGTACTACTTCGCCGATGGGGACAGCGACAACCAGTTCATCTGGATGAGGAAGCCGAAGCTGGCGCTGCCAGAGTATTTTAGATTTGCATACATGAAAGACGGCGTCACGTTAGACTACACACCGGCGGGGACGTGGCTTGCGAACGGCACGTTTTTGATGCCGCCGCAGTAGACACCCGCTGGACCAGCACGCATTTTAGAAGGCATCATTTTAGATTAGGTTGGGTGTCGTTCATGTTCGGAGTAGGAGCGATAGCGACATTTTATCTTTTCATGCACTAAATACCATCATCTCAATAAGATCAAATGCTGGTATACTAGAGGTTTTGCAATTATGTTATCTTCTGTGCTATGCCGTGTTGCGCAGATGGTCAGAAGGACAGAGTAGACCTGTCCCTGGATGAGTGGAGTTGTCATGTCCACTGGAGATGCCTTTTACGCCTTGAGCGCGCCCTGAGATGACATGCTAATGTCACTGTTCGGCACGCTGATTGGGGCCGAGGCCGATAAGGCGAGAGAGTCAGGTTGTTTCTGAGCTGAGCCGACACAGCGTGTTAGTAACTGGGTTGAGTCACCCGCCAAACACTAACAGATAGTAAGTCTGTCGTGGTGGGTCAAGCCGAGATGTGGGATTGAGTCACTGCATCATTGACTATCTCTACAAAAGCCCCTCGGAACTCATAAGAAATACCCACCGTCTAGGACGCAAAAGCTTTCAATCATCTGAAGTTTTAGTGTGGAATTTGCATCACTGAAAAACGCCATCGAAATGTCGAAATCAAAGGTTCAGTTGGTCCCTTTCGACCCAGACTCGCCTGAGCACGCGACTCGGATGGTGGATCAACGAACGGAGTGCGGTTGGCATTTTGACAAGGTGCCCGACTGGCAAGAGGACCAACGATCTGGCGAGAAGTGCATCTACTGGATCGTAAGTTTCAAGGCCAATAAGAGCCGCATAATATGAATCATATGGCAGCTCTCGGGAGGCAAGCCGGCTGACACTCCTGCAGGCATTTGCCCCAGATGACCCTGAAGCTGAGGTTAAGCTCTCAAAACACACAACTCGTTTCCCGAAGGTTCGCCCCCGACATTTGATCTATTGTTCTTGACCACAATATTCACAGAATATGACAGGAGAAAGTGCCTCTGCAAGACACGGCAACTTCCCTCCGCGCAACTCCCCGCACTCCCACCGGCATCACATTTCACCCCGTGGGGCATATCTCACTAGATGTCGACAACTCCGCCGCAAAGCGACTTCAACTTCCAATTCCGTCAGAGAATCTTTACTGGATCAAGAGCTTGTATGTGTCATATGCGCTGCAGAGTGCAGGCATCGGCCGAGCCGCGATGGACGAGGTTGAGGGCATGGCTACCAGCGAGCCGCTTTGCGCCAAGGTCCTGATGCTGGACACCGTTGCCAAGGAGGACCAGCATAGGGAGGAGCTGTTCCAACACCTAGACGGGCGCCCGCCTGCTGTGAGTAATTTCCAAACATGAAATGTTGCTTGAAAATGCTAATAAGGTGCGTGAAGATGTCCACTGAGCTGTGGTATGCGAGAAGAGGCTACAAAGTCATCTGGAGGGAGTTGAACTTTTACCCTGACTTTGACAAGGCCGGAAAGCCCTTGGGCAGACACACCGTATTCATGCGCAGAGACCTTCTATAGACGAAAATAAACTTAGAAATATGCTAGATCCCAAGGTTCTTCACAACGTTCTCTATAAATGAATCTTCTCGGGCTTGATCGTGTTTTTCGTATCATCATATCATACGTCTTCAAGCTATCAAACCGTCATTATGCCTCCGGCTCAACCCAGTGACTGTTCCCCTTCCAAATCATAGTCATAACAGCAAGCTCACCCTTCCCGGTGTTCTCATTCATCAAGTCCATCTTCATCAGCTTTTGGTAGAACGGCACCGACTTGTCCCAGCTGCCCGTGAGCAGCATGCTCCGGCTCAGGTGCGGCATCGACTCAATCACCTCTTGCAAGCACTGCACCAGCCAAGTGCCGAGGCCCTTTCCCTGCGTCGAAGGATGAACCCAAACATCCGTCACGAATGCGATGGTGGTGTAGTCGGTGATTATTCGACCGAAGCCGAGCAATATTGGTGCGTTCTCGGCCTTTTGGGTTGAGACCTCATCTGAGCTGGCGGCTTGTGCTCTGAGAAGCGTCTCGGCGACTTCGACGGGATGGCTTTTGATATCGTAGAGGGCGAAGCAGAGCGAGTTCTGGAGAGTCTCTCTCATGACTGGTGAGGGAAGCGGCTTACCCCAGTAGAACTCCTCAGAAGCGAAAGCTGCATTGAGCTCCGGGATGGGAACCAGGCTGGTGTCGGTGGAGATGAGGTAGGAGTCCCGCGTCCATCTCCGACTGCGTAGTTGTGACGCGGTTGACTCCATCCTTGCTCCGGCGTGATTGTGTCGTATGGAATAGTGATGATGTAGAGTATGTAGACTTTTCTTCGAAACTCAATTGCCAAACATAATCGAGAAACTTGACAGTCCGATTGTCTCATACGGCTTTAATAGATTTTCTGCAACAAGGTGACTCAGCATAGGTAACCATGGTATCTCTGACTCAACCACGCGAAACCGAGCGAATACTCGCATTACAGCAGATGTGCCACGCTTGGCGGGTCGTGGTGTTTTGAGCCGGAGCTAAAACCTGTCTCTGATTGGCACAACCGAGGCGCCATTTGGTTTATGACAGACCTAAGCTTAGCGGGCGTATCGGGCGTAATTGGGGCCCCGTGCCCTTATGTAATGAAGCTGGCCTACACAATTGCGTGCTTCACCCCTCCGCAGGTACAGGAAGATCTTGCTGGAGATTCAACAGATTACGGAAGACCAAACATGGAATGAATTCATACTTCAACGGCAACCCGATACTTCACACTGCCGATCTGGATATGACTGACACTGACTCTCCCATTTGACAACATTTCATGCCAAAAACAGCAGAACCATTTCTATTCTGTCCATTCACTTCTTCGCTCCATCCATCGACACTCTGCGATATCAATCGTATAAGCTGACTGTGGCTTCCACCGGAACCTGAAGCACTCGAATTTACCCAAACATACATCCAAACCGCCCATCGGCAATGGTGTATGGACCTCCCTCTCATAACAGCGACAAACCTCGTGCGCATGTAGCCGCTTACTTTGGGATGTACCACGATGGCCTCTCTGTCGACGCTTTGAACTCATACACAAGGCAACCTGCCTGAATACGTCCGCCTGCTCCGTTGTTGTTGCACTTTTTGTAACTGTCTAGGAGAAGACTCGCGCAGTTGGCCGTATTCAGGTCCCCAAGAGGCTTCCACAAGAGGATGTTTTCCTCTGTTGTCTCCAAAGAGCATCCGTCAGCCCAATAAACGTTCAGCTGGTACGGTGCTTTGTTGGTAATTGTGTCAAAGTGAATAAAGGTGCTCGAGTCGCCCTTGGTGATGTTCCGCAATGCCGAGCCGGTGCATACGTATCCAACATACTGCTCCTGGAAAGACGGATTTATGTCCTCGTGTTCACCGAACTCGTCGGTTCCAAAGCACTTAGGCTCACTAAGGGTCTTTGGAACCGGCTTGGTGATTTGGTAACTGAACTTTCCACACCCCGCGTCATACTCGGCATAATTGGCCATGGTGTTTCCTTGACCTCCCTTCTGGCCACACTTAGAGTTGGCAAAGGCGGTGAAGGCGTCTTTGCAGGTGACTTTGCACTGCGCGCCAGCTTGCGCACCAGTTTCGGGCTTGTAGTTGAGCTCGAAGTTGTATTTCAGCCAGGTGTCCTGGTTCGCAGGTGGTGTGCGTCTTCCCAGCTGTGGCTTGGGGATCTTCGAAGTCCCCTTGGAGTCCACAACCATGCGCAGACCCGACTTGGCGTCCCATTTCTGGCAGAACTCCTTGTAGATGATGCCGTCAGAGCCAGAGAAGACGTTGTAAGGTATTGGGCTGGCGTCGTTCTTGCAGGTTGGGCCGCTAGATGCCGTGTCCGGGTTGAAGATCTCGAAGCTGGCCACTCCACAGTCCAAGGCCAAGGTACCGTTGTGGGCCATTGTATGAGAGTCATAGGAGCCTAGGCTATTGTCAGAGTCCAGATCACCGAAAACAGATGAATTTTACTTACAAGCGGTGTTGGTTGTAAAACCTTCTTCAAAGATCTGCCTACATTGGTTCAAACACTCTTGTTTGCCGCTTTTCTTCCAATCCAGGGTGAAGCTGTATCGGTTGTATGCATCGCTGTAAGCATCTGCTGGAGTGTAGTAGCCTGATGCGTCTTTGTCGAGTCTGAAATTGTCAGTGCAGAATCTATCGGCAAGACTGGATATGATACACAAGTTAGTTCAAGAAGCAGCCAAGAACTATACGTCCACTTGCTGTACTATTTCCTCGGGAAACGGCAGGAGGACTTACGTCTTGAAAACCTTGGGACTCATGTTCTCCATCTTCTTGGAACATTCACCGTGCTTAGAAAGTTTTGGAAACTCCTTTGGCAAAGTCCTGAATAGTTCGGCAATTTCAGCCATAGCTGCCCGTTCCTCCTCGGAAGCTCCTGCGCCCTTGAAAACCATGGGCGCAAGACACTCGCAACCTTCATGTTCACCCTGTGCCTCAGAGATTACTTTACTCTTCCGTTGCAAAGACTGGATGTTTCTTGGATGGGTTTTCTTACCGATTCGCAAACTAACTCCTTACCAGACACCTTCGAATCGCAATCCAACTTCTCTTCATCATAATTGCACAATAACTGATTCCGATTGTTAGCAAAGCAGACTTTTTGATAAGGTGCTGTAGGTAACAAGCTCACTGGTGTTTTTGTTGGGTCTGGACATGAGCTTGTGGTCGTCGATGATCTCGTCGAGACCGTGGCAGTCTTCGTTGGTCGTTTGGTCTGTTTGACAGCTTTGAGGGAGGCTGAGGGAACATGAATCCCGGTGATCAATGGCTTTGTACTCCCAGAGTTCTTTGTCGCGCCGTAAACATGGAAAGCATACGCAAGAAAGCCAACACCGAGGGCTCCGATAGCTGCAGGGGCACCAGCCTCGACTGCAGTGACCTCGCCTTCCGACATTATGCTAAAAGCCACATCGGGAACTGCCTCGGCCTCACCTTCAGCATTAGTTAAATCAATTGCCTTTTCCACTTCAATCTTGATAGGATGCTTGGGCGCTCCTTCAAATATCGCTTCTTCAAGGTCTTCGATAACTTGAACCGACTTGTCGAATTGCGTCTCGAAGTGGTCGACGAAGGCCCTAGCCCCGCAGTATGCCCGGCGCTTGAGGCCACAAGCCGGTACATTCTGTGCGGCATCCTCGAGAAAGGACTCCAGGGCCGGGTTAATGATGCTGATGTCGATGTCGCCGGCAGCATTGGTAGTCGCTGAGAAAAAAGCTTCTCGTGTTGTGGTGGCCGGTCGAGAGCTCGGTCCCCGTGTGATCGTTCTGATGGTACCGCGTGCAAGATCTGGAGTCACAGTACCTTGGCTGGTGTGAAGATTGCGGTCAATTCCCCTTCCACGAATAGTTTGTCGAGGCAGTATTTGGACTTACAAGACTGAAGCTGGAGGGAGAATGCTAACCGGGTTGACTCCCACTTGGCCAGTTGCGGTAGGGACCACTGCGCCGACATGGACTGCTGGTGTGACAGTGCTCATGGCAGCAACATGATGTGACAATAACAGGGAAAGAAACGCAAAGCGACGTTGAAAGGCTTTGTGAGATTTCATGATGTACCAAGTAAGTGATGAATTGTTGGATGAACGAAAGTCGCACGGAGATAGGCTAAACCTCGACAGTGATGAACAAGTAGCGAATACAAGTTTGATTCTCTTCTTGGTCGAGAAACAATGACAGTTTCACAGACAGTGCGACCAAGCATTATATAGTACGAGGGTCTTCGAGACTCTTGATCAAATTCGTTGGCAATGTAAAAATAGAGAGCACTCACTCGCAGCGGCGGGGCTGTCAACTCGAAATGCCCGCCTGCATAACCACTTGATACGCCGTCAGGCGAGTTCCATACACTGAAGCATCTTCATTCGCGCCCAGCCCCCAAAGCTGCGACCAATGGTTGGAACTGCGATAAACGCGTTGGATGTTGGACAGTATTGAGTCAGGAAAGGTGTGGGTTACAGATACATCATCATGATACGAGAAAGATACACGATTAGTCCCAAGTCTGCCTTTGATTGTCATGTAAACAGTCAAGGTCGATACATGTGGCATCGTTCCTGTTGGGTGAACCTGGAGAAGGGGCACCAGCCCCCAAGGCTGATGTGTGTTGGGGCGATATGTATGATTAAGCGCCGCTGGGCTGAGCCACAAAGCTGGCTGTTGGATGACTTTTCGACCGTTGGTTCACGCTCATGCGATTTTCTACCCTGAAATAACGAACAACGGAGTATTCCGATACGCCAAGAGGCGGCCGCATAGGCCCCCAGATTGAAGAAATGCCTCACCTGATCGCCTCTGCTCCACCTGGTGTGCACTTATGGGGGCCAGTTGGTTTACTTCCAGTCCCTCATGCGGACGGCCTGAGAGACCAACGTCAGGTCATTGAGTTCCAACTTGTCTATTTACTCCACCACTTCTTCCTCCTGTGAAAGTCACAACTGATTCCGCCGGTCGATCCCAACCAGCCTTCCACCTGCATTATCTGGTTCAGAAGAAGGAGATGGGGGCTAGTGAATCCTTGAAATAGACTTCAGAGCTTCTCTAGAACCAACTGCATTTGGCTCGAGAAACCAAATTCGATACATACAGCCCACCAACGCCGTGACCGCCGTAAATTCCTTTAAGGCTTTCCTCCAACTAGCCAACATTCAACTGCAGTGTCCAGATTAAGGGATAGAATGAGGCCGTTCGGTTGTAATCAATGTAACTTAGACCCAACAGAGCTCAATTGAGGCACGGCGGTAGCCCCCATGGCATGATCAAGTACCGGATGCGAATGCTGGCTCCAAACAGTTTCAGACGGGCCTTCGAGATATCGAACTAAAGTGCATCTTTGGGGTCGGCCGGAGGTGGGAAATGACTCCTCTGAGAGGACCATGTCTTGGGAAAGAACTTAGAACATGCAAGACCCCCTTTTATGTAGACGACGGTGTATAAGAGACGCAGAAGCACCACCCAGGGGAATTCACCCAAGTGTCGACGCAGCCATCCACATCGATCACTTGAACACGCTTCAGCATTCAAACTGTTTCCGCTTTTTTGCCACAAGATCATCATGATTCCCGCTCATATATTTGTAATGACATTGATCACACTTGGTCTGGGTCAAACCACACCGAAATGGACCATACACAAGGGCTGTGGTGAGAATTCTCCCCATGTCTTTCTTTTGACGATGCACTTGTACAAGGCGAGGTCTGACCGAACGTTTGGGCTACAGATACGTTCAATGGTCAGAACATACGGGAAAACCTGAAGCAATCGGTTGTTGAGGGTCTCGAGCTGGCTGAAACAGCAGCCAGCGTTATGCGAAACCACGCCGACGATCTCTGGGTTCAGAAGATGAGCAGGTTGGTACTGGGAGATAGAGACACCTTTCAAACTCGTTTTGAATTCGTAAGAGGTACTGCAACACACATGAGCATCATACTTTGTGGTCCGGAACAGCCTTATTGATGCATCTGTGAATAGGCATTTTCGAACGTGTCGCCGCTTTCGAACGCGAACCGAGTACTCTCCAGCCTCTATCACCTGAATGGGCATCTCGGGCGGGAAAAAGCAACAAAGATTGGGTAAGCTTGTGAACTTTCATGCATGTTTCTGCCTCAAATCATTAGTGGCGGAAAATTCGAATATGAAGCATGGCTATACTAATATGGTGGGCTTCTTGCTGACACGGACATCTCTTCCACTTCATAGGAGATTTACTGCAACAGGAACAGGTTCTACAATACAGAGGGAAAATATCGAAGTCATGCCTGGACAACGAGCAAGGCCATTTCACCGAAGAAATGGCCTGGAATGGAAATGTGTTACTCAACTGACTACCGACCAGGATCAGGGCATAAAGCTGCGAAAATGATCACCATGGACTCAGACAGATTGAACCCTGCTGAATGGTTCAAAGCTCAGGAGACTGATGCTGACGCCCGAGCGAAGGATTATGTCCGGGAAAGCGACGACGCTTCCTCAACAGATATTTGCACATGGTTTATCGACGGCGCTGTTACAGAAGGTTGGCCTCGTATCAACGATGCACGTCTCGCCACGGTCAAGTCAGACCAATATAGAGCCAAGTCTACCAAATCACTGCCGGTGGATGGTCTGAAAACAATAGGATCTACTTTTCTCCACGAGGTCAGAAATTTCCTCAGCTCCCACTGACAAATTAAGCTAACTCTTTTCGCAGTTGACTCACACATCGCAGGGTGGAAGGCTGGATGATGTTTCTGTCTCTGGGCGATTGGCGGAATCAATCCCTAGTTGCTACGAGTGGGAATGCGTTTTGAAGCTGGGTGCGGAACCATCCATTCGAGCTGAATTCAACGCAGGTGTGTTCACGTTTCCATCATATGCTGTCAATCTTTGCTTTGCCCCCAACCACACGCATTATCTACTCCTATTTGATTTTGTTTGCGATCCTAGCTCACTGGTATCCATAGATTCAATTTCTATGTTGGCAATTGCACTCAAGGTTTGGACGATGCATCATTACGTGGATGAAAAGGGTGTCATTCACGAGATCCCGCAAGTCTGATGATGTCTTTGTGCATCTCATCTAGCTTGCTCTCGATGCGTGTCGTTCAAATCTGTTCTCTTCAGGTTTGCGTTCTTGTTCAGGATGCTGTACACGTTTGCTGCAGATATCAAGTGTTGTTGGCTTCATAGAGGCGACAGTCAATAGGGACCTCCAGAAATATAGTCATGGCATGTAGCAGATAGAAAATTCAATTGGGAATCTTTCAAAGACAAGCTGGCCCAATTAGTACGACTCGTCAGATCATTAGCGCTCTCATGGCCAGGCATATACGCTTGTTGTCTTTCTTGGACTGACAAGTCATGAAAGTTTTGCATCTACAGAGTATCGTTATGCGTAGTAAAAAGTTTCAAAGACTGGGAACTGAGGATGATACTGTATCCGTTGATGTCTTGGACCATTCTGTGGTGGTTTAGTTGTATTACTGGGCTCAGAATGGAGCAATGGGTGTGATGTGTAATTATTCCTGTGTTAGCAAACTTCTGAACCTGATTTACCCACTGAATAAATCCTGTTAGTTCGACTGCATGATGCTTGCATCTCGTGCGTGTATCTCGTATGGGAGCCCTGATTCTCTTCGAATGGTTTTGTTGTGGGGGTATTCTGCCAACAAAGCCTGTGACTGAAGAATGTACGATGGGGGCCAACACACGTACGACCTAGACGGTAGCAGCCTACTTGACGGCCAATCAAACACACCAACAGCGGCGATATTCCGCTGTTGGTCCATTGCCCATCGATGTTTCCCCTTGGCCTACCAACAGCGATCTCCTATTAATACCTGACCCCCACGACTAAAACAGCCTGACCATTCTACTTCCCGAACCACCTTTGCATTACTGAACGCAGTCACTGCGCCGCTTAACAACACACAAAACTTCAGAAAACTTCCACTGTTTGACTCAATCATCCCAGAATGACCGAGGCTCATGGATCACTTTTGTCCGTAGCTCCTTTGGAGATCCGGCATCGAATTTATCAACAGCTCTTGGGCGCGGAAACCCACTTATTCTTCGACAAGGGACACCTTCAAATGGTTCCATGCCAGGGCGCAGACGATGTGTCACATAGGATGCCAAAATGGGATAAGATGTGCAAGTTCGACGACCCTGTCTGGATTCGTCGAGTCGAATCAAGCTGGGGATGCCACTGGAAATGCGAAGAAATTTACCTGAACGGTGTTGAGGGGGGCGATCGAATCTCACACATGCCTTTGCTTTCGCTCTTGCTTACTTCGAAAACAATGTAAGTCATCGAAAACACAACAGCCTCAGGTTGTGACAAAGGCTCACATTCAAATGTGTCTCACAGGTACTTTGACGTCGTCCAATTCTTCTCGCATCCGAGTCAGTACGTCCATTTTACGGACTTGGAGACAATCGACTGCCTTCTGTCTGCAACTGCCTCCTCGGTCGCTCGAGGCACCAGTGACAGGGGCAGATGGTCAATTTTCAGATCGGTACATAACATCGGCCTCACATTGCGTGCGTCCTTGCGTCTCTTGGGCACACTATATGTGCCTTACCTTTCGAAGCCGCATATGGAACGTGAGCGGGGCACGCCACCGAGGCAATTTGCTACGCCGGAAGGAAGCGGCTGTTTGAGGCAGTACGAGCAATGGAAGCGGCTTTGGCCGTCATTGCTGGAGCTCCCGCATCTACAGCGGCTCTCATTCTGGCTCGACCACAACGAGTACTATGGTTGGGATCTCGTAAATGAAAGGGAGATCTTGCAGGACCTGTCCGATGTCATGCCTGGCTTGACCAAACACGGAGTGGAAGTATACGTTAACCTCCCTCGGCTTCCCCTTAACAAAAGGTCTAGTTATATGGAGGAAGAATATTTCGTTGGAGAAGAGCCCGAGTTCTGTCTCCAAAGGCGAACACGTCTGCCGTGGATATACGCAGATGAGAACGTGATGCATGAGGGAGAACCCGGGGTTAAATGGGCGGTCAACAACGAGAATGGAGAAATTCCTCTTCATTACCCGAAGGACCAAATCTCAGAACCAGACTTTGACTGGATGATGTTTGATGCGATGGGATGGGACATGGATAGCAAAGAGTTTGAAAGGTCTTACCTGGGCAACCAAATAATGCATGGTGGAAACTTTATGTAGGATGGTAGAAAATGATTGATGTTGCTTCGCAAATGTCAAGTAAGCCGCTTCTCAAAGCAATAGGGGGCATTCACAAGTTTTCAACCGATGGCTCGTGGGAGCGTAGCAGGAGCAACAAGAGCCCCGTAAGGGTGTGGCCTGTCCATCCATGCTTTAGGGCTCTTGAGAACATCTAAAAATATACAAGCCCCAAATTTGCGATCGTTTAGATTTAGAGTTTTTCATACTGTAGACTTGCCGTCTTCGCCCGGGACATAGGCACAATTCAGCATAATGAAAGGTGGACTGTTCGCTGCAGATTACTGAGGACAGCAATATGAGTCGGTCGACATCTTTGAGAACGGGGAAAATTCAAAGATCTTTCAAGGACCATGGATGAATCATTCTGCGTCAATACCAGTGCGTCTATGTCATTATGCTAGTATGCGTCAATGATAATCTCGACGGCCATGCGCCTCGCTAAATCGCTTGGGCAGGCGCTATCCCCATAGCCAATGGCTTCCTCTAGAATTGGATTACCATTTAAAGAACCCTAGTTGCAAGTATTTTGTTGGTTCATGGCCGTCGTTTTGTCGGTCAAGAAACAGGTTGTGCTACGCCACCCTCCTGCATGACGCGGAATCTCGGCGTTGGTCTCATAAGCAAAAATCAATATGTAGGTTCCCACTTTGTGCGCCTCCCCTCCTTCCAACATCAATAGTCTCTCTTTGCCCTCCCTTCTCTTCGTCTTGATTATTTCCAGGCATCTCAAATGACACGAAGTTAACCGCATCTCTCATAGATCAACGAAGTAAATTCTGCTTGTGTCGCCAAAATCCCCTTTCCGGTCAATATGCAGCAGTCTCCTCCCACTAGCGAAGCACCGAAATCGCCCCTGTTCGACTTACCGCTAGAGGTTCGACATCATACTTATCGAACGTTATGGGGAACAGCAACGCATCTGTTTTTACTTAACGGCGATTTGCAGATCATGGAGTGCCAAGGCGCAGATGATTCATCCCAATACCTCGCAGATAAACCAGAGTATGAGAATCCTAGTGTTACAGTCAGCTATCTAATAGTAAGGTCTGCTAATAGAAGCTAGGGGTTAACACATTATAATAGTATACTGAGGTTATAGTTTAAGTTATAGGTTATAAACTATTATAGATTAGGTCTTTAGAAACTAAAGTAATTAGTTTTAAGTTTAATAAGTAATTCGTAATAAAAATAAACTAAGAGTATCTATAAAAATAAATACTAAGTTAATTACTAAAGAGCTATAGAAGTTTAATTATAAACTAAGTTTAAAGTTATTCTATATATAGGTCTTTTTATATAAATAGTCCTATTATTTATAAATACTATTTCCTTTATTATTATAAATACTTATTCTAAAATAAAATGAATATTTATTCTAATATCTATTAAGTACTTATTATAGGTTCTTTATTTATATTTATTCCTTATTATTATATAACTTATATTATAGTTCTTTTATTTCTAAGTAAGTTCTTATTATTCTTATAATTCTATAAAATATAAATATCCTATTTTAGCTACTTAATACCTAAATAGGTTAGTTAACTATTATCTATATATAATAGGTTATAATATTAGATCCCCTCTTTAAAAGTTTTATTCTTAAGATCTAATATAAATAAGTTATTAGTCTTAAGTTAGAGATCTATTAATTATATTTCCTAATTTTCCTATAATACTAATACTATATTAGGTTATATTTAGAAACCTAAATCTTTAAGTACTTTAACTTATTATTATTTATTCTAAATTCTTTAATTTATTAATAAGAATATTAAGAATAATATACTTTATTTAAATTATTATTTGTATAATATATAGTATTTACTTCTTCTAGATTCTAATATTTATAAGATTTACTATTATTTAAGTATCCTATATAATACTTCTAAGGATATAATCTATACTTATAGGTTTTTTAGTAATAATATAGTTTCTTTTATTAATTTTAATAAGTAGTAAATCACTTAATAGTAAAGTCTAATTATCTAAACTAAGTAGAAGTAATAGAAGAAGTAAAATTTTATAAAAAAGCTATTACTTTATAATAAAAAACTAAAATTTACTAAAAAACTTAGTTAGAGTTAAATAAATTACTAATAAAGTTAAAGTAATTATAAGAGTAGAAATAAATAGTATTTAAAAAAAGTAAAATAGCTATAACTAAGTTTTTAGAAGATATATTAAATTCCTTATTAGAAGTATAATTAATAAGTATTTAAGGTATTTTAAATATAGATATTTTATTTAACTAAAATCCTATTATTCTAAACTTCTTATTAGGGGAGTTTTAGTTATTTTCTAATATTCCTAGCTATATAAAACTTTTTACTTATACTAATTAAGGTTATCCTCTTAATTATACTTATACTAATAGGAGTTATATCTCTTATTTCTTAACTTCTCTTTATTTCTATTATATTTCTTCTTATATTTATTTCTCTTTTTTATTAATATATTTTATATACTCCTTAAATTCTTTTAAAGTTATAAGTAG